TTGCTTGACTCCCCTCATCTCCTGCTGATGGCTGCCAGTGCGCAAGCAATGAGATGGTTGACAGTATTTGGCTTCACTTATAAGTTAAGCAGCATCCAAAAGATAAAACTATGTTAATATTTTGAAGATGACCATTCATCTTACTCAAAATGCTAATCTATTTTTCTCTTTCAGGTGCTGTGAATTTCCAGCATTTCTGCTTTTATATCAATGTTCCAACATTGTTTCTCTTTTATTATTTATAACTCATTTCTGACTTCATTCATTTTGCTGGGAGACCACCCGAGAGACCTCTATCTCAGATTCGCATAGTCAGTAGACCATTGGGTTCCATTTATACTTCATAAAGTGTAGCAAAAAAGGGATAGGAAAACTTTTCCAAGGTGTTCTATTCTATGAACGTTTTTATATTGGTGACAACTTCTGTGAGTTAATCAAGATTTAATTGTGATAATGTAGTAAAGATAAGCCCACGTCCAAGGGGTTCTAAATTAAGAGGGAACTGAAGAATTTACAATACATTACAAATTTACATTCTATCGGCACTATTCACATAAAACAATATCTCATAGCTCTGGACAAACAGGCAAATCAGATGCTGACGATAAATATGATTGTAGGGAAATCTTTTTAAGAGCTTGTTGTGAATGCAAGCACAGAATTTGGGAGAGAGATCCAAAGGACAGGAGTATGGTGGCTGAAGGTTCAACACCAATGATGGAGAAAAGGTGATAGTGGAGCCAAAGCAATCGGGAGCTAGCAATAAACAGAATCCAACATTGAGAGTTTCTATATCTTCCTTGGGGGCAACTTGGTGAAAAACAACAACTTTACAACTCAAATTCTGTCACTTCTGTTTACTATGCATTACATAATCTAATAGGTGGCTTCAAAATTCTGGGAGACCTTTTTGTATGGTAATAACACTAAAAGTTAATATTTTTCATTTAACAAAGTAATATCCTCAGAATAACACGGGTACCTTATTAAAAAGAGAAACTGATGATAGTTTACTAATAATCCTATAAATACAACAACTTACACTTATATAGTGCCCTCCATGCAGGGCAGGGTCTCAGAGCCCTTAATAATGGTGGACCCTGACTCTGAGCCATGTGGGGGAGGTGGCCGTAAGCACAGCGGACAAGGAAGTTTTTCAGGTGGGACTTGAAAAAGGGGAGAGAGGGGGCAAGGCAGAGGGATTGAGGGAGAGTGTTCCATAGTTTCAGGGTGTAGTGGCTGAAAGCGCGACCTCCGATGGTGGAGCGGAAGGTGTGAGGGACGAGCAGGACGCCGGTGCCAATCGAGCGGAGGCACCGGGTAGTGGAATGGGGAGTGAGGAGGTCGGAGAGGTAGGGAGGTGCCAGGGAGTGAATGGATTTGAAATCGAATGTGAGGATCTTGAAGTTGATCCGTTCAGTGATGGGGAGCCAGTGGAGTCTGGCCAGAACTAGTGAGATGTGGGTATGGAGTTTGGTCCAAGTTTGATCCTTGCATTTGATATAGTTTCTTTCATACAGGAGATCGTCTCCACTCTAGCAACCCAAGATGCTATCCCACGTGAAGGGTAATATATAAATTCAAGATGTTGTTATATCACAGGATTTACTGTAAAGTGTATTTAATGGGCAAATTAGTCAACTATTTTTTGCTATGAGGCTTTTTCAGCAGATCTTAAGACAACCAAGTTTCAAGAGTCATTATTCTCTTTTAAGAGAAATAAACCCAATTATTTAACTAATAAAAAAATCAATAAATTATGTTTTACAGGTTGGAAGCATAATTTGTAATTTGGTTGATCAAATGCTTTAAACTGTGTAATGTGTTACTACTATTATTTTCAGTATATTACACCAAGTGCTAAACAATCAACAATTTTATCAAGCAGTTACTAAAGGCAACATATATAATGCTGCAAAACATGAGATAGGATAGGCATTAAAAGTGATTATGTCCTAATGGCCTGCTTCTGCTTTCTCAGTAGAGCAAAAAGGTCAGAAGGCAAAGCTGTTAATATTATTTACACAGATGAAAGGCTGCCTCCAGCTGTACACCTGCACTTTTAATAACCTGCTCTAATCTCAGTCTAATAATTATCTTTTTTGTCAACCAATCTAACAGTTTAACCATCTACTGATCTACAGCAGTCATTAGGTCGGATAATTTAAATGAAGCTTACCTGTTTTGACAATCAGCTGTCTTTCACTTGTCTTCTAAATGTCACCATATTTTCCACTTAACCAAACATCACTCAATTCTTCCCCGTTTCTAACCACATTGATTATTCTTTGCTTTTTATATACTCCTCACGAATGCTATGCTTATTTACCAGACAGTTTGAGTCTAGATAATAGTAAGCATAGTGTGCTGCTTACTTTAAATTAGTTCATTGTGCATTCATCCTACTTCCACCCTTTACAACAGCTTGACTCTTACTAATAATTCTTCATAGCTTGATGGACTGAAGGCCCAATTTTATAATTACACAAGAGTCTAATTTTCAATGGTACAGACTTTCTTTTATTGGCTTGAGTTAAAAGTGCTTTTATATTTGTTCACAGTACAATTCTAGGAGGTGACAACATAGGACAACAAGCTGTTTAGTTTTTTTTGTTCAGTCGGGTAATTAACTTTTAATAAATTTTAATTAACAAGGCAACGCTCTCCCAATAAAAATAAATAATAATCACCCCCATTCCATAGATCATCTTTCACCTCGGGAGGCCATCTTAAAAGTTCTTCACAGGATTTACTGTATGTGTAGGAGAATATACTGTGAGATCAAAGTCTAGACTGTTAGATCAAAGTTCTGACATGGTGTTTAAACCATAACCTTCTAAGTTAGAAGCAAGATTCCTACCAACTGAGCTAAGATGACACTTATCAAATACAAGGATTATTACTGACCTTTGGTGATGAGCACTTAAAATGGTGCTCCTTATGCTTTCCTTATGAGTTCCTGAACTTTAATTTAGCATTTACAGTAATCTTACAAGCCATTGAAATAATGTAAATGCCAGATGGAAGAATAAAATTTATTATATACGAATTAGTTCCTGAATAATTTCTCGTATCTTAGAATGTTGATAACTTAATGGCAAATTAGTTAATTTGTTTTAATTATTTAGGAGTGTTGAAGTCAGTAACATTTCCCGTAATAATTAAATGTCGAGCTTAGTTTGAAAACAAAACTCCTCTCTACCAACCATATGTATGGTGGGATTTTATTGAGTCATTCGATAAAGCATCACGTTCGAAAAATAGACATTTTATCTATGTAGCATTATAATAAAATTGTATTTCTTGTGAGATGTGGTATAAAATAGCAGAAAAATATACAGCAAAAGTCTGAGGTGATTGCTGATTCTCATGCACATTGTGTAGAGGTTTACAGGTGGCCATTATGGGGATAAATAGGGAACAGCAAAGTAAAATAAAAAACATGAAAATGTAATGATCCCATTCAACTACATATATTGTTGCCTTCAATATTCTTTGATGCAATTTCAGGCTACTTACAACATGATCTGTAGGTATTGTATTGCCAATGGTAAGGAAGAAAATACTTTGTAAAAAAGGGTTTAAATCAGGCCTGTTCCTAAGATAAAATAAGAGACTTAAGTGTAGGATTAATACCAAGCCCTTATAATTTGTTAATACAATTTTCAGAAGTGGTTACAGCATGAAAATTAATACGGTTTTAAATATTCTACCTCTGGTAAGGTACTCAGGAACACAATGTTTGCATGGCAGCTGAACTAAGTACAAAGAGATTTTATATACAATTCAATGAGGCCTTATTTGCAATTTGTGAGCTGGAGAATTGGCTCTCTGGGCTCAGTTATGGAATACTATGTTAACTACAGATGAGTTAGCTTTGTACCTTCTGTATAGTAAAAACAACTTTTATTTGTATTGCACCTTTCATGTAAAATGCCTCAAAATTTAGCTGATACAAAATTAAGTGAATATTATATAGGCAAACGCAGCTGCTAAAATGAACCATAATCTCCCATTAAACAATAATGAGATGAGCAATCGATTAATTTGAATTTGGGGGTAAATTTGGGATTAGGAGAAGAATATAAACCAGGCTAAGAGGGAGAAAACACTGTGTATCCAAAACCTAAATGTAATAAGAAAATCACCTGGAACTAACCAATACAATTGCATATAATATGGAATCTTGTTATGTATGAAAATGCCAAGAGTTGAACTGCCAGTAATATTCCATTGCCAATGAGAATCTACTTTAGGATTTAGGAGCCCCAAATAATCCCTTTGAGATGGATTTGAATATGCTTCAACCAAGGGCTTTACAGCCAGGTTTCGTTATTCAGAAGTTATAATACACACACATGTTTTATTATTAATAATATTTTTTTACATTTGGTATAGCACTTTTCAATTTGGAGGACATCTCAAAGAGCTTCACAAGCTATACTGTAAAGTGTAGTGATGTAAGGAAAGAATTTGAATCCTCATGCTGACTCTTTCTGAAATTGTAGCTACAGATCCGGATGCCACATCAAATACTTTGCCTGAATCAATCAATTTCATTCAATCTGAATCAAATTATAAGGAAGGGGAAGGAGAGATGGAAGAAACATTTACTGCTGGTAAAAATAATCTTTCGGCAATTGGGCTCATTTTCTATGAATGGTGCACCAAATATTTACCTTTTACAGTTTTATTACCTGACACCTAATAGTCCATGAATATCTTAAAACTTTTTTTTACAAAATAGTTAAATTTCCAACTTTTGCCTTTGTCTTGATGTCTTGCAAATTGTCTGATAAATTATCTGCCAAGTAAGTTACTGCAGCCGTTATAATGTCCCCTGAGGAACTGCACTTGGTTGCCATAGCAGACTGGTAGCAGACACCACTTAGCTTGCTGGCAAAGCTTATTAAATAAACATATGGAAACAATGCAAAGTATCTATCTATTAAACTCAAATTTGAACTTTAACTACAAGTTACCAAATCATTTGTCATTACCTGACATGAGTTGCTATCCCTATTCCTTTGAAGAGAAGGCGTGGCTGTTGAGATGGAAGATAAAGCTGTAGAACCTCCATTGTCAAGCAAGGCTAGGAAAAAACACAAGAGGCGTAAGAGCTTCTTGATGGTTATTTATTTATGGCACAAATAACACAGGCATGGTTAATATTGGATGTTGAAATTATTCATGTGAATAGTTACTTTATTCTCGGTGTAAACATGATCATCCAAATAAATTTTAATAAAAAAATAAACATTACTTATCTTCCAAATTACATTAATAATTGCATGGCTTAGGAAAATACATCCTTAATAGAATGAACTACCGAGTCAAGATGTTGAATAAAATGTATGCTATAATTATTAACTCAATTTTAGAGCTTCCAGATTTCTTGATCAATAAGCAGTAAACATATTGGTCTTTTTTCCTTTGAGGATTATTTTCTACTTCAAATATCTGCCGGTATTTTCCTGCAGCTTCCTCTATTTTTGGATGTTTGAAATATAATCAGATAAAACTGCTTCTCAGTATCCAGGAAAACAACAGTGAAAATCCAAAATATAATTTAATTTAAGCAATGTAGCAGTCACTCAGTACAATACATTTTGAAATTCTGACATAAGCAAATCCCCACTTAAGAAACAATCCCTTCTTGTGAAACACTTTGTTATCAGTCACCATAGTGAAACTTTGATTGATGTGTCCTGTTAATGCTATAACACCACACTGTGCATTCACTTTCCGCATCCTGAACCAAACAAAGGACTTGCTACAAACAAAGGCTTAGTCACAAAAGAATAAGAAGCAATAAAAAAGGGACTGATTTAAATCTTCCCAGAATGGTATATTACAGTTTAGTTTGAATATAAAGATTTTCTGCAATATTAATGAATTGTCTTAAGCAGGTCTTATATAAAACAGTGTACTCAATAACATTATGATCTCCATGTTTGTATATATTCTGCCTTACGCAAGAGCAATATAAGTCTAAGACAACAGATGGAGAGAAGCTACGACCAGATGGGGAAAGGCTAGGGGATGAGCTTTGCAAAATGACCAAATACCGAAAATACAATTAGGTACCAGCCATGCACCTCATGTCATTTTCACACATGTAAAATCTGCAGCAGAGGGTTGGACAGAATAGGAAGGAAGGAGGGAGGGAGGGAGGGAGGGAAGGAGTGCTACCCATGAGCCCTTCGTTTTAGCAAAGCAATATTATATCGATTAACTATTCTGTGCTGAGTTTAAAGTTTGGGCCACTTTGCATGTTAACTACCCTAAACCACACATGAATGACGCCATATGCTGGGATTCAAATGATGTTTGGAGTGAGGATCAGCACTCATGAATTGCTCACTCCAAGCGACAACACGTTTGGTAGCATTTATGCCATATTACATGTCCAGTCATGTGTCCTTTTCTGTGCAGTCTTCAGAAAAAAAACAGATACATCCCCCATTATAATTATTACTTAGTAAACAATGAATGATTGATAGTCTGGAACAAGTCTATAAATACTCCAATGATCCAATGATAGAATGATGATGTGCCTTCTACAGACACAACATAATTGGAAAGACGAGATAGCTAAGATAGCTAACTACACTGAAACACCTCACTCAATAGGGCTCCCTCCACCAGCGATTAAAATGGTAAATTAGCCTGCCAAGTCTGTTTGAAACATGTATGAAAATCTTAAGTGATCACTTTGGGATAAACTGTATGATATGCTGATTAACCTTTCATAAACACAAAGCATTAATTTAGAAATGTTACAATAAGTGTGGCAGAGATGGGTCCCTCCCGGACATCCCTCTTAATGGTCATTTCTGTGGCCATTTTGCACGTATAACCTTGAATTTGATATTGTACTTGCGGATTGTGGATCCCAACATTAAATGGGAAATTGGCTTAACTAAACAAATAAATGAGAGTAAAGCCAGGATTCTGCTAACTAGTAATCCAGTGCTGCGATCGACAAGCACGACTTCTTGGACTCAATGATTGAGAAATGTCTTGGGAGTGGGAATTTTTTGACAGTGTATTAATTATCATAAGGTCATTAAATTGATTAGCATGAGTTGACAAAAAAATGAAAACGATCTGTTGGGTTATTTTAATACAGTAATGCAGAGAGGAATAATAGTAATCCTTGAATTTGAAACAGCACCTACAACCTCAAAACCTCTGAAGGCATTTTACAATAATTACCGTTGAATGTAGCACCTGTGTATTTGTAAGCAAACAAGAGGCGAATAACTAGTTTATCTGGCACAATTGTTGGCTAGGATACTGGGAGAAACTGTATCTCTTTTCAAAGAGTATGATGGCTTTTTTAACATGAATCTAAACAGAAGACGTTGAAACGTCTCATCTTGAGGACAGCACCTTCAACAATGCAGCTCTCCCACAACACAGCCCAAGTGTATAAACTTACAGTCCTCACCATGGGGGCTGAATCCATAATCTTTTGATTTAAGCAAGAGTGCTACAAATTAAGCAAACCTAACTTTATCCTTTTAAGGTGGAACACAAACTTAATGAAAACCAATAGAATGCACAGAATGGAAAGAAGAAACCGAGAGGAAAACATGAGATAGATAAGGAAAAACGTGTCTGTTTAACCCAATTGCTAACACTCTTGCCGTTGGGTCAGAAGACCATGGATTCCTGGCCTGTGTTAGGATTTGATCTAATCATCTACGTCACCTTTCCACTGGGGAGAGGGGCTGCATTGTCAGAGGTGCTGTCCTTCAGAATGAGATGTTAAAATAAAGGATCCAATGCCTTGTTCTTCAGAGTGATGTTATAGATCCCATGGCACAATACAAAAACAGTCACTACACAACAGTCATTTCTGTAAAAGAACTTTGAGATATTATAGCTTGATAAAGTGCAATAAACAAGTTATTTTGTTCTTCTAGAACAACATGTCATGGACACCTCAAGGATGAGGACTACTTATTAATCAGGCCACATTTTTCACAAAGGCTTAATTAATTCATTTGAAAGTGATGGTATTCAAATGCCAGAATTCACTGATAATAGCAAATCAGGTCAGTTTATTGACCGTTTTTAATAAAATGAGTTCCTATTCTGTACTGCTTTTGATTGCATTGTGATAAATGGGGATATCAAGCTTAGTAAGGCAATATCATTCAGGACAGCCAGTACAGCCTGCCAACAGGCTGTTGCTTGATGATTGCTTTACTTATGCCCAACTACATGTGTTGCAAATGTATTAAGTGCTTCAAATACCACAAGGGATGTGACAGAACACCTGGCAAGCTTTTGCAAGAGAATAAAGAACAACCACTTCAATTTCATATTTCACATTAACATTTCAATCAATCTTGGCTATAAAGGTGGAGAGCATCAATAAAGCATTGGTGAGCTGCAAAATCAAAATGCTCATAGGATATTGAGGGACTCACATCTCTCTCACTAATTTACCTAAATATGTATGGGCAAAAATTCCCAGCGGGATCTCAATTTACTCTTGTCTTCTTACTGTTTCAGAGTATCCAGAATTTTGCAAATTGTTGAATTCTAAAAAGAGCTTCCAGCAAACCAATTTCAAAATTGCATCTATATTTAATAGATTGGACAAGCTGAGAAGCTAAGGCACTAAAGTAAACCCAGACACAAGTGTTATTCTACCCTCTATATTTGTAATATTGGATATTTGTGTGAAAGATTTGTTTAGCATTACTGTTGAAATTGCTCCCCCCCAAAATTCCTAAAACAAACTTGTTGAAAATAGGTTTGACTTAGCTTATTATCAGCTTGTTACAGCCTATTAAGGAATAAGTTTAAATTCCACAGATAAAAAGTCTGTTTGGAAAGTGAGTTGTTAACTCAAGGTCAAAACTATAGTTGGGGGCAGGAAAAAACATTTTTGATGGAAAATTGGTATTGCAGCTTTTACCAGTTAAATGTGAGTGGAAACTCATAATTTGTCTTTCATGCAATAGAATATCTTGGCTTGACAAATGTTAAAAAAATGCAAAATTTAAGAATGATGAACAACACTGAAATCTTAAACAACAAAGAAATATATTTTTGGGTGCTTTTTAAAAACAGGGAAAGAAAGAGGTTTTGGAAGAACATTTGACGTTACAGAGGCACTGAAGTTAAGCAGAGGCTGGAATGTTGAACTTGAGAAGATACATATAGAGTGGAGTGAAACAATGGTGGGAATTGGAAACTAGGACAAGGAGCTTAAGCTCCATCTGCCAAGAGATGGAGAGCTGGCATGATCAGTGTGTTGGGCCTCATGCGGGAGAGAAATTAAGCTGTTTAGTTTTAAGATATGAAGACATGGATAATTATAGCAGGTATTGCAACCTGGCAGTGGTCAGGTACACTAAAGCGCCTGAACATAATTGAGAAGCTCCTGAATAAGCTTAGGATCCCCAATGAGACTGTGATGGAGCAGTGTCATGTGCTGCTTGGAATCTATAATAGGATTAAATCTACATTGGCAGGGAAGCTCAATGGTTTTGCTTTCTTTGCACTTGTTTTTCATGAACAAAGAAATTTCGGACACTGTATGTATCTAAAAGGTGAGTGAAGTTAAGGTTATTCTCTTGAGAGGGGTGGTATTCTATTTGTACCTAACTGCAGCAACTTTAACAATGTGTACCTATAAAGAGAAACATGCTATTATAAGCACCCATCATCAAACTTACTACAACATGTGCCAAATGGAATATTTTGCCCAAGGCCTCAGAGGTGACAAATAAGATGACATCTGCCATTTTTCTTCCAAAGGAAAGAAAGCAAATATTACCTGTGGTCTTTAAAGCGAGCAACCTCTGCCTGAACTTATAATGGGGAAAATCTATCATGTAGTATTTGGGAAGGAATGCTAAATCATAACACCTTTAAAATGAGTCAAGAATTGATTATAACCACTAATAATCTTGTATTAGATGATGTGCCTTACGTGCTCCTCTGGGTAAGCTACGCTCAATAGAAAACACACACTAGAAGCAGTAATTCTAACTATTAAATTATGAATGCTTAACTTAGTTATCAATACATATTAGCATGACCTTTGGCATCAAATCTTCTTCAGATAGA